GTGCAACGTCCAATCACGACTCACAACCCGTTCTTTCTGTCGCTGTTACTACTACCTACTGCTAATTAGAATCGTCCTCAAAAAACTTTTCTCGTGTCCACAATTCATCAAACCTGACAGTGGCCTATACTTTGACTCAGTAGTAAACGAACTGCATTTTCGAAAGAATCATGGAGATAGTTATAGAAATGTGCAGTTCCAATTAGGCAAATAATTGACAGAATCAGTTTAATCATTTTGTTAAATATTTAGTTGATTTTGTAAATCAACTAAACAAAAAATTTCTTCTTTAATTATATTTCTTATGTTCTTCCAATTAAATTTCTTACGAAAGTGGATCAAATATAAACGAGAATTTCGTTCTGAAGCTTAAAGAAGGTAAATTAGGATGCAACGTTAAGGATGTTTCGGTGGGGATGTTAGGAGAGGATTTCCAATCTGAAAGCGTCCTCGCGTCATGTCGGTAACAGTCTGCAACAAGATGAGCGAGAAAGAGGTTCACCCGTTCGTTGCGCAACAGATCATACTCATAATTAAATTTCTAACAAAGGAGGGAGTTCGGCCTGTTGTAGATTACGCCAATAATTCGGAGAATCAACTCTCTCACAGCCCCGTATGTTCTTTTGGCACAAGACTTTCTCTGGAGGACGAGAAAGAGTCGAAACTAAGAGTCGTGATCGCCGTCCCAGGACGAATCTAACGGAAGACAATATTCATGCAGTTTGTGACTTTTTAAAGGCTGACCGATGCGTTACAATTGCTGAAATTGTTGCTCATCTTGGAAACAGTTATAGCTGTATCCAAAAAAATCATTTCAGATGAGCGGGGATACAGAAAAGTATTAGCTCGTTGGATTCCGCGTCTTCTCAAGACAAGGAGCAGTACAAAATTGTTCATCTTAACAACCTCTGCCGACGGCTTTTGGATCGACACGTGAGAGAAGAATCTCCATGTGACTTTCACATGTTTAGACCTGTGAAAGAGGCGTTGGGACGATTTTGCGGACGATGAAGGAATGGGGCCTTCGTGCGCAATTAGCGTCCACCTTCCTTTTATAATGACAGCATAAAGAAACTTGTTGGATGGGAAAAATGCGTTTCCACCTTTACGGAAAAGAATGACTGCCGAGTGTGTGATTATTACTGGGAATACTACTGCTTGTTCAATAATTACTGCCAACAGATTAGTTATATACATATAATCACACATTACTGAGGACATATAATTCTGCGTTAGTCTCGAAAAATCGTTCGACTGGATGAACGCTTCGATATGAGTATTGCATCATCCGTATATTTTTACAAAGCCAAGGCTGTTAATTGTATCTTGCAATTTTATACTTTGTGTAATATTTGATGAGATCTGGCTGTATAGTCTCCTTTCGTCACGAAGGCAGGAACTAATAAGTAAAGAACTGATTCCCGCGTTTCGAAACACTAGTATAAATATAACCAATAAAATCAATCAGCTGCCTCTTATCATCGAATGAATGTGTGTCGTGTTAGTGTTGTGTCAGTAATGTGTGTTCCTTTCTTGGAATGTTTTTCAAATATTTAATTGACAGAGATTGATAATAATTATCTAATAGATTCGACATATAAAGTTAATCGATTGCTTCCTATCGTTATTGAATAAGCGTTGTGTGTTAGTAAACAATCTTACGTTTCCTTTTTCAAGAGATTTTCAGTCATAGAATGACTAAATAATTAATAATTACAAATTTGATAAAAGCTCTTAACTGATAAGATATATTAGATTTCTCGTTTTCTTCATGTGAGATACTAGTAAATACTAAATAGTTTGCATGTGAAGTGGCGCGAACCTGAATGTACACATTACAATATTTGATCCACACTCATATGTACATTTTTAATTAAAATTAATTTTGACTTTTATGCAGATCTTCTATGAATAATCAGAAATGAATTCAGTTTAGTTGTTATTATTAATTTCTATGTAATGGAAACTTTTGACATTCTACATTTTATTTATTCTATATTTTTATCGTTTGTCTTTAATCACCAGGGCTTTCTTTATAAATGCAGAGAACTTTTTTCAAGAGTCAGCATTCTATCAATCACATCGAAATTCTAAGAATTGTCAACTTTACAAAGGTGATAAATTTGTAATGTAATTATCATTACTATAAACTTTCCATAGAAATTTTCACATCACAGGTCAACAATACCAGCGTTTTCTTAGAAAGAGTCTAATAAAAATAATAAAAGAAAAATCTTTTCACGCGTCACTAAACGCGCAACCGGTGATTCGCGGCAAATGCGATTTCTAGAGCGAGCCGTGCAAATGTATGTAATCTCGTTACATAAAATCAAGTGTGCTATCGGATCGACGAGCGTGTCACGGGGATTAATGCAATCGTTTCATTACACCTCTTTATTGGACTGCCTAAGAACAGTTTTAGAATACTACATTTTCTGCCCGAGGGAGAGACACCTTTATTCATAACAGTTCTCTAGGATTATATGTATATATTGCGCGTGCGTATAAAAAAAGCGTAAAAGATTACCGAATGTAGATACATATATTCAGTTACGGTTAGCAATCTGAAACGCAGACACCCACCAATCAACCGAAGCTTTGACCTATTTCTTCTTTAAGTTACATTATCTAGCAAATAAATTTCCGATATCTGTCCGTCCCCTCCATTTTCCGTTGCGACCTAGTAACCCTTCCGACCCTCTGATCTACATATGAATACATTCAACATGTCCTCATTCGGTCCAGATTTCTTCCATTCCTCACCGTGAAAAGAGATAACTACCAGCTGTTCTGGACGGAGAATACAGATTTGCCATGTATTTCTTCTTTGGAAGTAGATTTTTACAACGCCGTCATCCCTTGAAAATTCAATGAAAGCATTCACCGCTTTTTATAAGTTAGCGGAACAAAGTGAGCGGAATCGATTCTAACCAACATTTTTATTTGTTGTTCATTTGTTGCTAAAAAGTTGCAAAAAAAAATTTATTGCTCCGTCGGTTTATTTAAAAAATAATGTTTCGCTAAAAAAAGATTAAGTTAGCGGAACAATACTTATAACAAAGCCAATCTGCACAAAAATAACGTAGGAATTTGTTGCTAATTTGTTGCTGTCGTAATATCATTATTTTGAATATATTACATACATACTAATAAAAAAATGTAAATAACAACGAGAAATCTCGGGTATGTTAAGTTAGCATCCCAACTATAGTACTCAGGAGTTTTAATTAGAGTTCCCACTTCCTTTTGACGAGACGAAGAGTTCCCTATAGTTAATAACAAGAGTTCCGCTCAATAAACATTTTTTTTACATTTTTTAAAAATAGGGTGCTAACTTTTTATCGAATTTCGAGGTGGAATAGTTCTGAGCGGCTTAATAGCTTCAATTTGCGATTGCCTACAGTTCCTGATATGTAAAAAAAATTTTCGAATAAAAAAAATTAAAAATTTTTGAAAAATTAATTTTTAGATACAATAGTTCTGATGATAATTTCGGCTTCTTTTTGACGATACGAAGAGTTCTCTATGATTTTTAATGACATATGCGCTTAATAATCATTTTTTAATAATTTTTTAAAAACTAGCACATTCCTTGCGCGCGCTACGCGCGCGATGGTCCATTATGCTCTTTTTAAATATTATGAATTATGTTTCTTTGAAACTTGTTTTGAAATCAACAACTCCTCTAATTCCTACTAATACAAAATTTCCCTGAAATTTGAAAACCTTTAGAATTTCATTATTGTTTTCGATCGTCACATTAATTCTACCATTTTGATAAACAATATTTAGCTTATTTTTTTATTCAACGTTTATGTCGAAAAATTCGACCCACAGTGTGGCTGTGCTGGATCGCGTACAAGAGTAAAGTACGTTAAAGCAATCAATTGCCGGGATCATTTTGGTCTCAAAATGTTTCTAGAATTATTTGCTCTAAGAATATCCAGAATCCGATATTTTGCTCATCGTTTACGTCGAAAAATTCGACCCACAGTGTGGCTGTGCTGGATCGCGAACAAGAGTAAAGTACATTAAAGCAATCAATTGCCGGGATAATTTTGGTCTCAAAATGTTTCTAGAATTATTTGCTCTAAGAAGCGCTAACTTATAAGACATGCATTCACTTACCTTTATATATTGTAAGAATCCTGCTTAGTTCGTATAACAAGATCTATATGTAATATTTTTTTAACACAAATTTCGTATTGTCTGCAGTGGACTATATACTGGAATTGAAAAAAAGTTAGAAATTTACTTAATTTTTTTTATTTTATCATTTTAAAATATACAAACGAAAAAAAAACTGTTTACAAATCTAGCTTAATTTGATACTCATTAAAATTTTTTTTTTATAAAGTCAAGTACCAGTTTCATATAGGTTTTGTTATTAAGGTCACTAACATAGATTGTAAGTATATACTAATACAATCATTTTGAGAAAAAAATATGTAAAATATTAACTTACTTTTAACTAACAAATTAGTACAAATTCAGTTTTGTTCATTTTTGCCCTCGTTGTATTTTTATGGTCCTGCCAACTTAAATATTAAACTAGCAGCATTGTTTTCTTAGAAATGACACACATTATAAAATTGTTTTTAGTAGTTCAAATTAGTACAAATTCTATCCTATTTGTTTCTGATATTATTTTTCTTTTTTCCTTTATTTTAAATTGGTCCTATACTTAATATTAACCTAGCAGTAGGTACCACGTTTTATTTTTCAAAACGGCGCAGATTAAAAAATTTTTATTAGTGATACAAGTTAGTAAAAAATGAGTACTTACTAAAAATTCCGATAAATCCGATTTATTTTATTCTACTGATATGTGATTCTGTTAGCTTTATAGAGCTCCCAATGTAGTGTAAGACAATTTAGTCAGTCCGTAACTCGGTCAATCAAAACTAATTTCTTTTACTTTAATTCTCGTCCCGCGAATACAATTGTATTCGACAAAAGAAAATTGATTATCACGCGACGTGTCTTTGCTTCTCTTGCAGGTATGATCACTCTGGTCGACGGTACTCCAACCTTTGTGGACCCTCTCAAGGAATGGAAAATTATAGTGACGCATTACGGAGGGTTGGCTGGTCTTGCTCTGATCGGACTTATCTTGGCAGCTACTCTTCCCTGCGCCGGTCTCTTTTTCTGCTGTTGCCGATGCGCAGGACATTGCGGTGCTCGAAGTCAGCCCTTCGATAAAAAACACGATCATTGCAGGAAGATTATGCTCAGCATCGTGTTAATCGCTGTCGCTACTATTATTCTGTAAGTTTTTTATGATTGTCATATTCAGTAGTAAATATACAATACCTTTCAGTATGTTTTTAAAAATTATATTCCTGATAAATATTAGTCACATTTAGGTCAAACAGTACAATTTAAAGGGTTTATTTTCTTACCAAAGAAATTTTGTGATAAATGCCGTTATGGAATATAAAAAATTATTTGAGTAATAACACCGAAAATTCTCAAATTAATGATAATAGATTACACAAATATAATGTTACATAACATATACGCAAATATACGTCTATTTATGTAACTGTTATATTTACGGTTTGCTGAGTTTAATGGTAAGAGAATATAATTGTGAGATCAAACGAACTTATCAAGTGAAATTTGATTGATCTTAATTGCCTTGGATCTCGAATTGAATCGAAATGTTCGAATCATATAAAAAAGATAGTAAGATATTTAATGAATATTGTAAATATATTATAATTTGTACGGATTTGACTTTCACTTGCCTATTTATTATTGTAATTAGTTTAATTTGATTAATTTTTAAATCTTGAGAGACCGATAATTTGTTTTATTACTGAAGATTTCAGCTTTTCAATGCGTTTTGGCCAATTTCTGTACGAATTCGTTCAAAAGTTATGATTTTTTGTAGACGCGTGCGACGCTCCACTTCTTTTAGCGTCTTGTCGGCGCGCTCTACTTCACTACGCAAAGTACATCTTGCATAATTTTTTACGTAAAAAGTATTGCTCATACGACAAAAATTTATACAATCTTTTCTGTATAAAATTTTCCGCTCTTTAATTTTCCTTTCTTTTATTTTCTTGGTAAAATTGATATTTATTGAGATATTTGCAAAAAGAATGAAATTTGGGCCCTATCTATTTAATTATTTTTCTTAACGGCCACTGTAGAATGGTAAACTTTTTTCTGTTTAAATCTTGTGCAAAAATTCATCCTGATGGTATTTTTTCCGAGATCAAATTCTATAATAACGGTACATAGTGATATTGTGCCATGATGGTTGCATTGCCATTAAAAAGAGAACACACCCTAAATATTGTGACTATTCAGTACAAATTTGCATTAAAATTTGAAAATAAATTTTACATTCGCCCCTCTCCCTACATAAAATACCTATATATTTTTAAAAAATAAATATACTTCCCAGGTCAAATAAATAATGAGCTATATTTGTTGTTACTATTCAATAAATTTATTACAATCAATAAAATTAACTCGGAACGTTTCGACTTTACAAAATCATCCTCAGCCGCATAAAAAACCCCGTAGCGTCTGTGATATGTAAGCGTATTAATTAGATTGGGGTTTTTTATGCGGCTGAAGATGATTTTGTAAAGTCGAAACGTTCCAAGTTAATTTTATTGATTGTAATAAATTTATTGAATAGTAACAACAAATATAGCTCATTATTTATTTGACCTGGAAAGTATATTTATTTTTTATAATTTTTAATTTTATATGAGCTGACAATATTTATTAATATATTTTTAAGTTTTAATATCATTTTCGTTATTTATCAACCTTAAAAACTTGGTAATATACGACTTATATAATTTAAAAACATTTTGTTATTTGAATCTACCATCTTGATTTCTAACGTTTTGATTTACTTTCATTTTCAGTTATTCCAAAAATCTTTAAAAATAAGTGAACTAGTTTATTTCTCTTCTTAAAACAAGTCGGACGTAAAAGGATCGATTTTATTCAACATCAAGTTTTGCTTAATCACTTTATTACTTATATAATAGCACAAAAAAATGAAACAAAAATAATAATTGAAATATACGGCAATAAAAACACCCGCTACGGTGTTTACGATTTTTTGAAAATTCCTGAAATGCACTTGCTTCTTTCCACTTAAAGTACTAATAAATATTTCAATGTATTATGTGTTGCACGGTTTTACTGCAATAATTAACTTACTCTTCTCTTCAAAATTTAATTTCCCGCGCAATTTAATTCTCTTTTCTGTAAAATATGATATTAATATTTAATATGTCAAACATGAATTTAACGACAGCTTTGTATAAAATTCGATAATGAAATTCTATTTATATCCTGTCTCGTCACTCTAATAAAACTTAGCACGCGGACAATTAACTGCAGATTCGGCGTGGTGTGTGCCTTTGTGACGAACGAGTATATGCAAGAGGGAACCAAAGAGCTTACATGTAAAGCCAAGACTAGTCTGAAAGACGTCAAACTCTACTTGACTACCACGAAGAAAGAGATTGACAATTTGCTCAAGACTAACCCCGAGGAACTTGAAGTTACGCTGAACAATATCCTGCAGGCAAGCGGCAAAATCGTCACCGAACAACTGGCGGAATACTCTCACGCCGTCTCTCTGACGAATCTGAACGACATCGTTGCCGGCTTAGAGTCGATCAAAGAAGATCTAAAGTTGATGAATAAGATCACGCAGGAATTAAGGATAAATGCCAGTCAATTGGATATTGGTACGCCTGTTTTTTTTTTTACATTCTCTAAGTTCATTGGAACTAAAAAATCAGTTAACATTATATTTCCTCTTCCTTGTGAAAAAAGAGAAAGTCAATAAATATTCTTAAAAATTCTTAAAAATATCAACTATGTTAACACCGTTATTCCATATAATAAATAAGTAAACATTATATTTCCTCTTCCTTGTGAAAAAAGAGAAAGTCAATAAATATTCTTAAAAATTCTTAAAAATATCAACTATGTTAACATCGTTATTCCATATAATAAATAAGTAAACTGTTGTTACATAACAAGCGTTTCAACAAAGAATATCAAAATAAGCGAAATATAAATTTGCTCTTGTAGTTGTTCGTGGTGTCAAGAAGAATCTACTTCACACGCTGGCTGCATGTACAACTGATAAGTGCCAACGGGTTCTGCACGATTACAAAGTAAATCAAATGTCAGTACAAGTGGATTTCGATAAGGTAAGCAGACTCAAGTCATTTCTTATCGTAAATATTACCTTAGCTAATTACCTACAGTTAATTACGAGCATTTCCTTGTTTACACGCAGTACATGGACCGTTACTTCCCAAAGGTATGATTTTACAATAAAAGGAAACTTTTTTCAATGTAATGAAATTTTATAAAAATGCCTTCAGATCTCGATATATAAAAAAAAATCATTTGAAAGGGAAACCAAATTTTTTAGCAATTTCCTAGATAACATTTATATTGCATAAGATATCCAAAAGACGTTTTTTTAGATACAACATGCATATTATCTGGGCTGGCATCGCTATTTTTGAGGAAATATTATCTCGAGGTCTAAGTGCATTGAAAACAGTGATTTTTTTAATGTATTGAAACGGTAGATTTGTACAAGGCTTGCCTCGGCTTTCGTGTGCTCATAATAAGGCTTCTTAAAATAAAGTCACTAATCTTACGAATTTTATCGAAGCGATTAGATTTAATAAAACATGTTTACCCTACCACTTATATATTATTGGTATTATTAAATATTTATATTAATTAAATCACAAAAAAAAGAGAAATAAAATATAATGCATGACATATTGATACAATTAATTCGTAAATTCAGCTATATATTGACATATTGTAGATCAATGGAATTATCGCTTTACTGTAATTCATTGCAAAAGATCTTCATTAATGTCGAATATTGTAGTTACTGATATATCGCGTAATATCATTAGTGTACAAGGGACAGATACTGTATAAATTTATTTGATTCCATGCTTGCCACAAATAGCTTCTAGCATCTGTAAGTTGTAAAGCAAAAGCATGTCCTTATTCATGTGTACATCGTTTTTTACATATAAATATATTTATTTTCATTATTCGTTTAATTTTGCAAAATAACTTGCACGAGTAAAAATATTTGCTGGCTATGTATATAACATAAGTATGTTGAATTTCTTTTTGACAGCACATTATTATTATTTGCACCTTTCTATCGAATGTAAGAGAGAACAAAAGTGTATTTCATATGCAGAATGTTCTATTTTTCATGCATTATTTTCTAACAAATTTCCTTACTAAATATTATAATTTTTCTTTAACAAAAATATGAAATCATCAATCACTTTTGAGTTATGAATAGTTGAAAATGGGATTTTGTGTTTTAGATTTTAAAGAATCGAATAAATTACAAAACTTCAACTAATCTGAAATGAAAAACCAATGAGAACAAGCCGTAACAGAATTATTAAGATTGATCTAAAATGCGCAAAGAGCATCAAAAATTAATTGTTAAATTGTTAGTCAATTTAATTCGTGATATTACTGCATTAGTTTAATAGTTTGTGTTTCACTTCTGAAAAAAAATTCAGCGCGCAATTAAAAAATTTACATATGTAGTATACAAATTCACACACAATTATAATATATATTAGAAGCACTCAAGATCCAGCTTGATCTTTACGGCCTGTTCTCATCGGTTTTCCATTGGTTTCAATCCGATTCTATAAGATTTAAGATTTAATCTCAAATGGATTCATCATAGTATAATTTCAATTTAAAATTTAATCATAAAAATATATAATATAATACTATTGAAACGTTACGATAAACAAGGATCTTCCATTTTGTACTTTGAAATAAAGTTAATATAATATTTACCGTCTCATCGAATGGTCTTTCCTGCGAAGACCAGACGGAAAGTCGTGAAATTTTCAGAATTTTAACACAACCCGCTTCTGGTCTTCGCGAGAAAAACCATTCGATGAGACGGTAAATATTATATTAACTATTTCAAAATAGAAGTTTTACCCTTTAAAACGTATCCAGAAAAATTGTCCTGCAATCTGGAAGCGGAGACAGTTTCTTAAATATTCACAAGGTTTTAAAGTGATCCCCTAATTGTTGTGTGTAGTATATCTGCAAAATTAAATTTGGAAAGTATATATTATGCATGAAAGAATCAAATTAATATGTAGTATACTACGGCCAAAGTATATATATCATGTATAGAATTTAAAATAAATTGATGAGAATAAATTTTATTAATTAAAAAATTCTTTTTTCGAAACAGATCTTAATACTTAAATATATTTGTATAAATTTGTATGTATATTTAATTCTACAAACCATGCATTGAAATCTTTTACAGTCTTGGAATGCAATTGATTAGTTTTACAATATTGCTAGCATTTAGAGTATAATTCGAGCGCAATCCCTATTTTTCGTGCAACACAAGTCATCTTTAGAAATTAATATATCCTAAAGTGTAGCAAAAATTGCAAAATGGTAAACGACTTTTCATTGTTAGTTCAGCTCGCTCTACCTGCTCACAAGAGAAATCGGGGAGAGACATCTTGTATTTTTATCTCTTCCTAATAAATTTTAGAGTAAAGATAAGAAAAATATAAAGTTAGTATCTCAGAGAGAAAGAGAGAGAGAGAGAGAGAGCGCCTAATATTACATAAAAAATATGAACTTTAAAGAATAGGTTGTAACGACATAAAAAAAGATAAGAAAATAATAATCTAGTGTATGTATAATATATATATAAGGCTATAGGAGTCAACCGCAGGTTGTTATGTTGCGAAATTAACTTAAACAATAATTTACAATACATATGTACGTTTCGACTTCAGTTTGAGTTATCTTCAGCAATTAAATCCACCGCAACAATATCTTTGTTTTGTCTGTGGAACAATTTATGAGACAAGAGTGAGATATCCAATACAGTTACAACACTGAATTGTGATAAAATAATTCAGGCTGAAATTTAAAAAAAAAAGAAAAAATTATCAGAAATTGTTGGAAAACATAGTTATGATATGCTCACCTCACAATATCTAAGAACAAAACGCATAGTAAAAGAACATTGCATACCAATATGAACTTTATCAGCATTTTAAAATTTAAACATTAAGGGAATTATTATTTTCTTATTGTGTTATTAGGGAGTTTATAATTTTATTGTTGCTTAATTATTCATTATAAAAAAAGATCATGTTAATTTAAAGAGAATAATTTTTTGTTAGATCAAATTTAATAAATAAAATAAGAATTATAGTAATAAACGCAAATTCTTGAAAATTGTAAAATTGCTACCGATTAAAAATGGCCACTGTTATTTAGGAATAAAAAATTTATTAAAAAATTAGTTTTTAATTTTTAAAACATAAATAGATATATAATAACGTGATTATAAAAAAATCTCAAAAATTATTAAGTGACCAACTTAGTTGGAATGACTTCTACCCTAAGCCTCTAAAAATAAAAATATAGCTGGCAAGGATAAAAATTAATTTATAAAAATAAAATTTTACATGCACATGTTTTTAGATTTCTGCTATATGCGCATATCTGAATTTTTGATATTTTAATTTTTTGTTTCACTTTAATATTTATATATATATATATAACCTTTTTTCCTTGACTTGTTTACACTGGGATGTATCCTTGGGTTATAGTCATGTTTTTTTTAAATTATTCTAATTTTAAAATATTTTTATCAAACGTATGCGTATGCCTTTTATTTATATTCGTATTTTTATGCATTTGAGTGCCCATAAAATTAGATTTTGTGAAGTTTAGAGAATTATATCATTTCTGTCTTGTAGCTTTGGAGATCGCATTTAGCACGAAATATTCAGATCCAGCAAGGAAATTTTAAATCTGTTCTATATGTGATGAATCTATTAGCAATTTCACATTAATGCCAATTGAAAGTATGTCGTGTTATGATACTTTTCAGCTGCCAGACGTTACATTTGCGTTACATAACATTACCGTGCTCATGGACAGTAATATAGTATCGGAAGTAAGCCAAGGCAGGGATTCGTTTCTGAAGATTCAGAAGGATATACAACACGCCGTTAATCAAACGATCCCTGTTGTCAGTGCGAGTATTCGACGAGCCTGTAACTATCTGGCGAGCATTGCCAATAACATGACTGCCCTTATCGACAGGATAAATGTCGACATAGATAAAGTATACATGCGACATTTAGAAGTTGCCCAGAACAATATAAATCAGTATTCGCCCTATAGGTTCGTGGACGAATAAATTTAAGATAAATACATTGCGAGTCATAGAATTCATAGGATTACATCTAATGATCTTTAAATTTACGTGTTTTGTTTTAGGTACTATCTTGGTCTTGGTATATCCGGTATTCTTCTGACTGTCTTGATGTGTTTGACATGTGGCCTTTTCTGCGGTATTTGCGGAAAACGTCCAGATGGATATGGAGATGATTGCTGTAATAAGGGATCAGGAGCACGATTCCTTATGATGTAGGTTGCAAATGTTACTACAATTACGTAAAATAAAATCAGTTTCCATTGTCATTCTTGTTTTTTAAATAACTGTTAACATTTCAAATCGGCAGGGCTGTGTGGATCATCTTTCTTTTAACAAGCATTCTGATGGTTATAACTGTTGTTCATATGATAACCGGAGTTATGGCCCAACGTGGTATCTGCGAACCTTTAAAAAATCCAAAAGACAACAGAATGTTCGAATTGATCGATGAGCTCGTGCAAATCAAGAGATTACTTTATCCGAAAAATCCTAATGCGAATATTAATATGAGTTACATTGTAACGTAAGTATGTCTATGAAGCATTTGCTGCATTTTAAAATTAGTTAAATTCTAAGGAAGGTTGTATTCTGACAAGTGATTGTCAGAAATCTTATTACGTAATTTATATATTACAAAAGAGAAAAATTAAGCTTTATTATTGATTTATTTAATATATAAACGTCATGTAAAATAATCGTAAAAAATAATCCTATATGAATTGAATTAAAAAAAAAATTGATATGTGATTTTTTATTTTTCCACATTACAGCAAATGCCACGAAAACGAGACGCTTTACAACGTGCTGAATCTGAAAAATGTGTTCGTCGTTGAGAGCCTCCGTGATTACAATGGACGTTACGACATTAATGATACCATCCAACAACTGCGCCGTAAGATCAGCCTTTCTCCCGGTGTAGTAATTCTGAAGGATAGCGCGAGATCCAAGCTGAACGATCTAGCACAGAGCGGTCTCAGCGACATCAAGTTCTATCAGTACGCCGAGCTACTCGCCGAGAACATCACGAATATTAATTTGGAACATCTTGCCAAACAATTACGAGAGGTTTCCGCTAAATTGCCGGAAGGACAAGAAGAAATCAAACTTAGTCTTGAAAAAAATGCGCATGACTTGGAACATTATCACAGAGACTTGGTCATGCCCATGGCTATGCTCAGCGAAAAATTAAGCGCAAACGCGTTGACTCTTCAGGAGACTATTAAATTCAATCATAGTTCAATGGCGGATGCTATTCATGATTTAGTAGATGAAGTTACCAAAGCGCAGCAATTCCTAAATAAGGATGGACCGGAATACGTTCAATATGTATGTCCTATTTTTTTTTTATAGAAGTCATAATATTGCTATACAATTGATGTTATTTATAATATGTCAATTTAAAATATGTTGTTGACAGCTTGCTACTAAATTTGGCAATGCGTTTTTGCATCAAGTGGATAAATTTCTCGAACATGTCATTGAATCTGCAGTTTATAAGATTGGAAGATGTGCTCCCGTGTCAAATGCTTATAACGCAACGCTCGTGGCCGGATGCAACAGAATTTTGGATCCATTCGTAAGTATTCAGTTTACTATATGCATTTACTGAGTTGGAAGAACAATTCTGCGACTTTTGTTAGCTCAAAACTATTACGCACACGCTCACGCACGCACGCACATACATATTATATATATATATATATATATATATATATATATATATGTATTCGAGTATATACAATATCTTCGTTAAAAATTAACAAAATTTAAATTAAAAAAAAAAATTTTTTTTAACTTCAAATTTCTATTTTCGAAAGATTTTTATAACTTTTTAGTTTATGTGAATTTGGTAATTTTTACGTATAGAAAACATACGCTGAAAAAAAGAGAAATTTTTCTCATTTTATAGGTCTGTTACGTTTCAAAAAAGAATTGGCGAAAATTTTTGACTATCTAACGTGAAAAAAGAATTGTTTCCTATAATTTTTGTTTCTGAGTTATTCGCGAGTTAAGTAAAGAAATTTTAATTTTAATTGCTCATAATTCATTAAAAATCATCGTATCGCAATTAAAAAATCAGATTCTTAAAGCTGAAACTTTGCTCAGTCGAATGGTGTATAATCGTTAATTTTTTAAATATACAATATAAAATTTTGAGCTAATAAAATACCGCAGAACTTTTCCTCTAATCCAATATAAATACATAAATTCCACACATGTCTATCATTAGATACGCTAACGTGCCTCTATTTCTAAATTCTTAAATTTTCATTAAATTTTTTAACCGTTTTAGAAGTCTCGTAAGCTAATAAATAAATTTGTTGCAACGAGTGACAATTAAAGTATTATGCGAATAATATGTACGTTGTAAAATTAAGCAAGCTTCGCTGAGAATTAATATTTATGATTTATTTGAATTTATATGTAGAACGGCTTCTGGGCAAGCGTTGGTTGGTGCCTGATCCTGTTCATACCAACTATAGTTCTCTGTGTGAAGCTGAGCGCTCTGTACCAAAAGTCGGATCCATATCCGGGACCTCTTGTCGAAGCGTAAGTTTCTACTTTCATTTTATAGATGTAACAATTCTCAATTGCGATCTAAGAGACGTCTCTTTAATTGTTTTTGATTCATCCAATATATGGTGCATGACAACATTTGAAATACTAATGTGTCTTTAGTAGATCCATTGTCAATCGAATTCGTACATTAAACACGAGTCATTCACCGAACCGTTGATTAACGTTAATAAAGTGTCAATTATAAATTCAAAAAAAATGTAAGAAATAACGAAACGCATTATACGTTAAACTTCGGAGTGATAAGGCTTTTTTTCTTTCTTTTTTGCGAACCTCAACGTACAACGAATCCCTGAGCACTTCTCATGTAGAAACTGTTAATTCTTTTATTTCCGTCTCGTAGTCACTCTCGAGCTTCCATATATCATGGCATGTTCTTATTCGCGCTTTGTAACATCTTTGATATCGGCATGTTCTTGTTTTTTTATTTCCAAAAAATCCTTCGATCCCGCAAATTCTGAAAGAATTTCCAGGTTCGAAATTGTCCTCTCGGAAACTTATAGCCTGTTTAAAACAGAAATAATTGTTTAACGTCATATTATGTATTGAAGATTAAGAATTGGGGATTAGAATTCAGCTAATCAAAACGAAATAGATTAAAATTATCTGATTGGTCGAAGTCTAATCTTTAATTCGCAATCCTTAAGCTTCAATGCGTAGTGTGACACGGGTATAAAATAATTAACAATTCTTATTTATACAATCAGTAATTTTTTATATCAGTACTTTGATTAAGTCACTTATACTATTTCGATGTTTATAAAAATATCCCAACCACATCTCGCGCGTGCATTTTTTTATTGATTACGAGTCACAACAAGAGATTATACAATGTTATAAAATGTTTTTCTTAGACCGATCGGTCGCGGTCCATTGCGGTAGCTTCTAGATTATGTAACTGTCTAATGTGTGGAATGGTTGTTGGAATCTAACCGCTAACACGCTCCGTTACAGTGAATATTTGTATGACGCGTACGCAGACAGGGATAACATACCCCTTGCCCAGTAAGTATACTATGACAAAGTCGAAGTGTGCTCGCATGTTTACATATCCCGAGATATACGCATGTATATATAAAACTTGTCGTCACAACTTTCTGTATGACATAAAATGACACGATATTTCCCGCACCTTATATGTTTCACATGTAGATAATATAGTTCTTCATTTTCTGGTAATTAAGAATTAGAGTTGAGAAGTAACGCGTTAATTTTTATCGTTTTGTAATTTATTATTTTTTTTTTAATAACAAATGAGTAACGTTACACTTTTTTATTTGTTATGTTAATGGTTACGTAGTTAATGGTTAATGATAATGTAGTTACATTTTTTCGTAACGGTAATATAAATTATTACTCTTACCATTACAAACAAATATAAATTATTACTTTTATCACTACATTTGCATATACATTTATAATGCATATGTATTATATTATATATGCATATGCAAGTATGAAAAAGTAAGGAATGTGCGAAATTTTTTATCATGTTTTTTATATGTAGCGACAATTAAATAATACTGTAACGTCTTTGAGTAATAATAACAAAATTATTTTTTTAAATTAATAATAAGTTACTTTTACAAAAACTTCTTCCCAACCCTATTAAGAATAATTTTTATTATATGAAATATTATATTTAACTTATTCTTATCTCTCTTAATTATCAATAAAAGATAAAGAAAATGAGCTATTACAGCATCTAAGAGGTAGTAATTTTGATATATAATCATTTAACACAAATACATTTGAATAATATACGTACTTATATAATGCGAAGATTATACGATATGCAGAATGTTCGAAATTTAAATCAAAACTTCGGCTGCGTGTACTGAAACTTTATCTCATATTGCAGCCAAACACTGATCAGGTGATATTTGATGCAGCCTCGATTTGTTCTCTTGAATTGATTGACAACGAATAAACTTTTTTTAAGACCCCTTACACAAAGAAATCCAGTGATGTCAGATCAGATGATCAGGATGACCAAGATATGATATTACTCCTCGAAAAAGCAACCAAGAATGAAACAACTATGTTTTGTCTTTTTTGCGATTTTCTCCAAAACGAAGCAAAGACAAGCATATCTCTATAGGACTTTTTTCCAAGTTTATCTCCTACACGCTCCCGAAGTTTTGACATTTAAATTCTAGACACTCTGTATACTAGAGATACACCGGATCGTAAAATTAGATATTGGATATCCGAAAAAATTATAATACCTTATATCCGATATCTGGTTGAATAGTAGGGCAATTAACCAGCCGAATATCGAATATTTTCTGGATATCCGGCATAAATTCACTAATATTTTTATTTTAAAAATGGAAAGTAAGGAGAAAATAGTGATAATAATCGATGGCTATGGGACAGAGTTGTTTGCAATACTGCAATTTCAACATCGCTTAACCATAAACTATAAATAAAGTTCAGCTGAATACATGACCAGATACTATATTATCGGTATTATATAATAATATCCGACTGACACATATTAATGTGTCAAATTTTACTAAAAATTGTATTAAATAATATCGAAATTTAATCGATATATATAATATACATAGTTAATATATTATAATTTATTATAAATAAAATAAAAGTAAGGCTACGACTAATTAAACGTTTTATATCTATAACATCATAAATAGCGGACGAAGAAGTGTCGCGGACGCTCAAAAGAAATTAAAGAAAAAAAATGTTTTGAAACATAAACTGTAGACGGTTGAGTGTCGTGGACAAAGAAATGTACTAGACGGTAAACTTGTCTTACGAACAAGTTACAACAATGAAATGTCGAACGATGAATTGGTAGAAGGTGAAGTGTCCACAAACCCATTTGTAATATATAAATTCACACAGATTTATTTTAGAATTAAATTAATATGATATAAATTCAACTAATTTTGAAATAACGCTGCACAGTATAATAAATTTTATTTATTATTTGACGATTACATATTATCTTGTTGGCTGTGAATAAAACAACGTTGACCAAAATTATTATTGTAAAAAAATGAAGTATTTATTTCATTATTTGAGATTCGAAAATCTAGTTTGATTTGACTTTTTGTTGTCTCTTTTACTGTTCGGTTTATTATCGTTATCAAGTTAAATTAATTATATTAAACTGATGAAGATTCTGTGACAGTTGAAATGTTTTGATATTAAATTTACAATTATATTGTTATATTTTCTAACTTTTTTGTGCTTTCTTGTTGGATCATTGAATGTTTTAAAATGTATTATAATGTGCAATTAAACAAGCGTTAATTTGAATTATTTTGTTCATATATATATATATATATATATATATATATATAATTGAATTTAACGTACTCTTGAAAACTCCTGAAAAACCCCTGGAATTTCAGGACTAACCTTGAATTTTTTATTCTGTGAATTTAAAAGAAATTAGATCGCGAAAAAAAAGAGAAATATGAATATTTTCTGCTCGTGCGCACGAAAAATTTCTCTAATCTAAAATTTTGAAAAGAAATTTTAAATATAAAGCATATAATATTATGCGAATCGATGAAAATTAATCAAGTGATGGAAATTAATCGATAGGTATATCCTGGAAAAACTAGGATTTTTTACCTGGAATATTCTGGAATTATCCTTGAATAGATTAGACAGATAACGCTAGACACCCTGCTTTAGTATTATGATAATAAAATAAGAAAATTAAACAAATCTTATGCTCCAATCTGTCAGGCTTCACTTATTTTCGAATATATAACAAAATTTTGTAATCGTTTAGTAAATTTTGTTGTTGTTACGAGAGTGGATCAAATATAAACCAGAATTTATTTTTAAAATCTTTTTATATGAAATAAAAACATAAAACATTTTTTAAAATTTTTTTTTCGTAATCTCTTGCTTTGGAAACCCATTTTCCCCATCTGACTGGAAACTTTTTTATGTTGTCATTATAAAAGGGAGGTGAACGTGTTGTGAGCCACGAAGACCTCCACTCTTGCGTCGTCTGCAAAACACTTCCCTCCCAACATCTCTTAGAGAGCCAAACGTGTAAAGGTCATATGACATAAGTCTGGACTGTAGGGAGAGTGTTCAAGTGCAACCCAGGAAATTTGCTCCAATTTTTGACGCGTTTGACGTGAACATTTTTGTGCTACTCCGTAAGAAAACGCGAGATTTAACGAGCTGACACTTTCTTGTATCCCATCACATCTGAGATGATTTTTTGGATACTGTCATAATAACTGTTTCCAAAATGAGCAGCAATTTCAGCAATTGTAATGCGTCGGTCGGTCTCCAGAAGGTCACGAACGCATGAATATTGTCTTCCGTTAGACTCGTCCTGGGATGACGATCGTGACTTTTAGTTTTGACTCTTTCTCGTTTTCCAAAGAAATATAATATACGGAGAATTTCAACAGGCCGAATCCCCCTCCTTTGTCAGAAATTTAATTATGAATGTGATCCATTGCGTGACGGACGGGTGAATCTCTTTCTCACTCATATTGTTGCAGACTGCTGTACCGATCCGAGGATGCTCTCAGACTAGAAATCCCCTCCTAACATCTCCACCGAAATATTCTTAACATTGCATTATCCTATAATTTATCTTCTCTAGACTCCAGAGCGAAATTCTCATTTATATTTCATCCACTCTCGTATTTATTTTAATACTGAATATTTTAATATGATAATAATCCAAATACGAGAGATAATAATGAATAATTTTTATTGCTAAAAATCTATTTTTCAAAATGGCTTATTTTTAATTTTGTCTTTTTTTTTAGAAATATGCTGAGTTAACTGAGTATGAGTAACACACGTAGCAAGATACACGAATACCTACATAATCAAACAAAGAATATACTTGTGTTATACAGATTTTCGTGATGTCATATGTATGCTTATTATTTGACAGAAGAAGAATATACATTTGAACAATGTGAATTTATCACACACACAAACAGACAAAATATTTATCACTCTGATCTATAACGAATATCTTTCACTATACTTTCATCTCAATATACGAGTGCACGTCAACACATACGAAGATTCTAACTCTTTATTTTAACGTTTGTGATATATTCGTGTCGAATTTCGTTAAACGTTCTGAGATTTATTTTTCGCTTATTTGACCATTCTTATTAACCTTTTCGATATTAATCAAGACTATAATCGTCTAGCGTTGAATGCTCGTCGTGTACGACAACTACAGTTTAACAATTTTTTAAGTGTTGTTACTATAAAGTGTTTACTGCAAAACCCTGTATCTACGGTGTTAGAACTCGGTCCGAATTTTCGGACCAAGAAATATATAGTCAATCAACTTGCCACTTCCGTAAAACTACATATTGATGATTAGCTATACATTCCTGGATCCAAGAATTTGAACTGAATTCTAACATCGTGGGACACAGGACTTAAAACGTGTTAAAATATAATTCCTTTGTACCAATACTTTATGTTTATGTTACATGATAAAATTTAACCGCTATGCTTTTTTCTTCGGTGAAGTAAAGTTCGTGTCACAGGTGTCTTGTATAAATGACAGCGTATTCGCGATTTGACTGTTCACACAGCGGAAGCATAGTGGCGAAAAATAAAGCCGTATCGAAAAGGTTAACTATTGCTATGTAGTAATGATAGCTTCTGCTTAGAAGCTTCGCTAGGAAGAGTACACGTATGCGAATAGATTACGGCTTTTATAATAGATTAAGCGTACAGCACCGGTTACGACCGTCTGGGAAGTGTTCTTTAACTGCAGAACTGTAGCTCAAAATGCGAGCTCATATAGTGATTAGATACGGAAAGGAAGGCTTATATGTAAGTCTTTCTATTAAATTTTCAATTATAATAAATTGGAGCAAATTGAAATTGGAGTCAACATATATATCTTTGATCCAAAAAATTCTATCTGATATATAATATTCTTATCCTATATTTCGTTCAACCTTGCATCAACCTTGCTTAATTAATTATATTCGTGTCGTTTGTCGTACAAAACGACAACTTGTGGTGACACTGCAATTTATTGGACATCGTAGATGCAATTCATCATTCTGCGAGCTCGCAAGCAGGTTACACTATTTAAATACACGCATTACACGCTATCCGGAGAAGTGTTTCCCAAAAGATGTTGTTCAAGTTATCCGTACAGACCGTGAAAATACACGAAGGTCGCGTGAAATCTTCAAATTTCAGAGATGAGAAGGGATAGTTTTCAAGAATCCAGGACAGATTGGGAAACGCTGAACCGGAGATTCTTAACGAATACATCAAGCGGCTTATTAGCGTACGTAACACGCACCCCGCGTCTCTAACTCGCATGATGAGCGATTCGTCGCGTCTTCGTAAAATGTAAGCAACAATCTTAATGAAACGTCTGATTACAGCGTCCACGACAAGAAGCACATGTCTCATAGACATAACCCCGCGGCGTACGTCGAGAGTTATGATGGACCGGCGATGGGATACGGCGAACGCGAGAGGATCCCCGATGCCCATCAGAGCACGTCGCACCATGACTCACGATATTCCGATCTGGCGCCTAAGTAAGTGGAATCGTCTCACCCACAGGGTCATTAAATATCACCTATTCCAGGAGATAAATTTCCCCTCACAATCATCAACATCGCCATCCATCTCGATTGAGACGTATGTTATCAATCAACGCATTGTACCGCGTTTAGGATTGTCGCATACACCTTCTGTAAGAGTAACCATAAGATAAGGTGAATGTCCCGATTTCTACTCAAGTTCCTATTTCTACTCACTATGAATACGTCTTATTAATATAAATATTCTATATAAGACGTATTCATAGAGAGTAGAAATAGGAACTTGAGTAGAAATCGGGACATTCACCTTATACCTTATAAGAATCACCTTATAAGAATCAGCCAATCGAGAATTCTTTTGAACTGTTAATTCTTAATGGTTTATTCTTACGGTACGTATTATGGGTACTGTTACGGAAGGTGTGTGCGGCAGCACTTTCAGGGCTACCGCAAACAAATTTCTGTATAACGGTAACCGCAAGATAATAAGTTTAACGCCCATTTCCACCAATGCAAATTAACTTTAATCTCGGTTCAATTTGCTCTTTGTCTTTTTCTAGTTCTAAAAATTAGAAAAAGATGAACAGTAAGTTAAACCGAGATTAAAGTTAATCTTTCTTGGTGGAAATAGAGGCATTAATCGATGAAAATCAATAAGAATATTGCTTTAGATCTACGTGATCTAACAGAAATATAAATAGCAATAAAGTAATTCATAAGACAAATTTCACACAGTTGAAATCTACCTTATAGATAAGTTTAATGCTATGTCTATTTCCGTTAGATCATATAGATCTAAAGCAATATTCTAATTAGCTCATCGACTTAAGTTTACATCTTACGGTTACTGTTACAGAAATTTGTGGTAGACCTTAATGTGACATCATGACAATGTTACTTTTCCCTCTACCCCCCTCTCTCTCTCCCCCTCTCTTTCTTGCTCTCCTTCTCTCGTTCTCCTCTTCCTCCTTTCTTCTATTGTCTTTACCTCTTCCTCTCCCTCTCCCTTTCTTTCTCTTCTCACTCTTACTTTCTTCTTCTTTTCTCTTATTTTAACTTTTAATATACATGATAGTTTTTTTGGCACCTTTACTATAATTTCCTATATAGGAGTCACAGTTTGGGTTAATTTTTATTACTTTTAAATATATAAAAATTATAAATAAATTCCTACATATACACTTTTATATTTTTAGAAAATATTTATAAAGTTGTGCATATATTTATTAAAAATTGTACATAAATATTATATATAACTGTATACTATAATAACTATAATAATTATAGTTAACGAAATGAAAAAAGGTATAGTAGTCTGGTTAGCTAGGACACTTGCGCGTAAAGCAAACGATCCGAGTTCGACTCCCGGACGAGGTAATATTTTTCGCAATAATAAGAAGAATTATTAATTTCAGATTTTATATAGTTTAACATCGATATAAGATGCCAAAAGAGCATCAATTAATTATTAAATTGTTAATCAATTTAATTCGTGATAGTACTGCGGTAGTTTATTAGAATTGCGTTTCAAGACCGACAATTGTTCGGTGCGCAGTTTAGAAAGACTACATATAGACAGTTATAGGCTTTGTATTCGTATTAGTTATGTTCTTAAAATGAAAAAATGTATTTTTATATAAAAATGCAAGACTCTGAAACAAAAATGTTTAAAGAAAAAATACGTTTCAATGTTTTAAAGTTGACATTTCAAACTACAAAAGAAAATAATAGTTCAGGAATCGGCTGTTCAAAAAGTTATGAAGTAAACCAAATGTGACACTTTTTTTTACAATGCATAAATAAAGGTATAAATTGAACAAATTTATTGCATTTACAAATTAATATTTTTTAAATGTTTTTTTCTTGCAAACTTGATAAAAATCTTTGTTGCGACTCTAACAATAACAATCAATCGGACGAGCTTGAAAAATATATAACTGTAAAAATGTTTAACTTTTCATGCAAAGCAAGATTCATTTCACTTCCTCCCCTGTCCAGAGGCGATCAACTTTTTATGCGAAGCGAGGTCTACTCCACATGTCTGTAAAGTCGTGTCTAAAATATAAGGCCTGGATGAGACTTTATAAATACCTATAGATTTTATAAACAATGTATATTTTAAGAGCTTATTAAAAAATTGTGAGAGGTACTTGTTTTGTTCCCTTGTAAGTACATTTAACTGTACTATAAGGCTCGGTTGCACCAACGTTACTCGACATTAAGCGAGACTTAAAATCGAAGTAACGATAAGGCCTAAAAGATCTTAAATATAAAAATTGACTATCAATTTCGAAAAACACACACACACATACACACTTTCTTTCCTCCTTCCCCTCTCCCTCTCCCTCCCCCCCCCCCCCCCATGTCATCTTGCTGTTTCATCGGTCACGTCTTATTTCTTTACAGTTTCACTCTATCATGGCGAAATCACAAACATACCGCCCCTTCAAAAACAGAACCTCACAGTAAAGTCTTTAGTCTATCACTAGAGTCGCAGTAAGTCCCTAACGGCGCCGATAAGCGTAAAGCTAGCTTCCTGTCAAACGTAACGCTTTCACCTTGTTTGAGTATATATCGGTACTTGGTATCTGGTGATTAGTTCATACTGATCTCCTTGATCTATTTTCCTCGCCCGGCACAAGCAGGGTTCCCACTCATCGAGTGATTTCATATATTATTTCTGTAGGCCTAAATTTTTGGACGGCTGACATCGTTCTCGCCACGGGTTTCAAAAGAGCGGATCTCGTCGTACTCAACTGGAGACGACCATCCGCAACTCTTCGGTACCCGAGATTACGGAACGATGGCCGTTTCGGTTGTTTCCTTTACGATTTCACGCACGATTTTTGCAATTTGAACTGTGTTGACTATTATAAACATCATTTTGATGCATTTCATGCAATCCCGATGGTCACGATTTTTCTCCCGGTTCTTTCCAGGTGAGTGGGAACCTTGCGGGGGGCTCGGCCTCTCGCGTCTCTCGATACGCCTCTGCACGTAAGTCGCAAAGACTATTGTTGACACAAAATGTTTCAGCGTTTCTCCTCCTGCGTTCGTGCTCGTTTAATCTGTTTCTTTTCTCTTTTTTTTCTCTTACGTTTCTTCTTTTCAATTTATAATAGCTTTTGCAAGAAAATTAGGCTTTTCGCAATGAAATGGTCTGAAATAAGATCCGAATGATCGTTCAATTTCCTCCCCACCCGTGGAGGCTCGTTCTGTTGTTGTTGACCGAAATTAAACATTTTCAATGAGAACAATTATTAAATAAATTTCCGTCTCGAATAATGTTTCTTCCGTAATATTAATGTTACTTCAAGATACCTTGCAAATTATCGCGAAAAAGCATGTCCATCTCAACGGGAATATATTTTACAAAATTGTCGGGACGTTTCAGTCGGATTACAATATTAATTTAATTTCGCTTAGCAGCTGCTGTATATTAGTTCGCTAAAGCATTTTACTGTGGCAAGAAACATGATAGATCAGCGTTTAGCTTTTTCACGGCCAAACCAGTAAGTGTCCGAAACTAACGAGTGGCAGAAAGGGCTAAACGGAATTAATAAAATGCTAGGAAATGCAAAATGCTATAAACTCATGACCGAACTTGAGTGAAACGCGATTAAGTATTAACTACTGAAATGCCATATAATATTTTTACAGAAATTGGGATTTCCCCAACGGTGGTCCGCCAAGATATCAACCAGCTGCCGGGACTCCGCCTCCTTTAAGCACTGAATACGAACGACCACCACCCTATTACTATCCTGGGCCTGTGTAAGTATTAATGTTTCTTCTACATATAGACGGTATTTCATAGAAAACCACCTGTCTCTTTCTAAGCGACGAAACATCGGACTTTAATCATTTCTTTCAAATAAGCAACTGTTCCTCAGTAAACCATGAGTATATACTGTCACATAATATAGATATAAATGATATATATTTATATTATGTAACAGTTATACTCATGGTTTACAGAGTCGCTTCTGATAAATTATCTTAATGATAAGTTTCGAGAGAAAGAAAGAAACTTTGTTTCAGGGATAGAAATTAGGAAACAAGTGCCGTGGCATGCACAAAAGCAGCGTTGAACAGTGTGGCGACGCACAGCCTCACGCGCAGCTACAAGCGAACGTTCAAGAAGAGAGAGAAATCTGGATATAAGAGGGACTACGTATAATACTACACGTTTGTTCCTGAGCGTGCCACGGATTGTGCGAACACCAAGACCAAGTTTAATATAGACTAAAGTAGGCCAATCTGGCCAGTGATCCTTTCGCGATGTTCCCTCCTTTTGTGGGGTACAGGTAATCGACGTAAATGTGACGCATATTCCACTTTTCGTTTAAACATCACTCAAGAATTAATACTCGTGCGTTTTCATACCGCGAAAGGAACACCATTTTTGATTAAATGCGGACTTTAAAGAACGCGAAGTCTCACCATTTCTCGATCTTTCAACGTAATAATTAAAGATAAACGTAAAGACAATGCCCGGATATATGTACAACGTGGCTCATTCAATTATCCGCTTTCGTCTACCGAGTATGGATATTGAGATATTTGTATATGTCTTACGTCTTCGATCAGTAAGAGTAACATACATGTAGAACAAAAGTCGATCGAACACGAGATGGAGTCAAAAGAAAATATTGTAGAATTAGATGATGAAACGATTTCTCTTTCGTTTAACGATACGTAAAGACTGTACGTGCGAAAAGAACTATGATCTATCAAATTATCTAGCACAAATTAATGCTGCCAATGTAGCGCGCTGTTTTCCATATAAGAAAAATCCTCTATCTTGACACCTGACTGTTGATCCAGTACTTTGAGCCACCAAACAAACGCCATATGAAAAATGCCAAACGATACACATGCGATTTACACGCATATATTCGAAGGCACACATCGTTGCTATATTACAAGTGTCGTGTGGCTCATCACTTTGGATCTCATTCGTCTATGTAGTTGAGGAAGACAGAATACTGATATTAAATTCTCCGCCTGCTGATTTCTATCTCATGGTGGAGAGAGAGACAGAAAGAGAATTTTCGAGCGGCGCGACCGCCCTATTATAAATACTCTGTATACATTTTTCAGTAGTCGTTTTCTTATATACTATCTTATTACATCACAGTCTATCGATATAAACCGAGGCGATTCTTACGTCGCATAGATCGCGCCCGTGTGTTCGCTTAATTGAATCTACCTACTGTATGGATTTCTTGATGTACGTATTATTACAACATCTGTTGTCCTGCTCCCATTCGAGTACAATTAAGCAATTCATCGGGCATGCAAATACAAATGTTTCTGGTTCGTTCATATTGAACTCGTATATAACAAATTTAAGGATCTATATGGTGCACTATCGCGCGTTATAAGTGTCGTGAACCAGTCAAAGATTAATTTAAAAAAATTGTAGAATTTTTATTTTTATGTAATTGATTATATATCCACATTTTTGGTTTTCGCTTAGAAACTTCAGCTTTTTAAACGAATTTCCAGCAATTAACAGAAAAATTTTCCGACTAACCACTCTAAATTTTGAAAAATCTTTTAAAATAGTACATATAGATAACAATGATAAATCATAAACCTTATAGCGTTTTCCTTTAGAATACACTGGGTGTAGCGAAGGTAATCACTTAATGTAATCTTGGAAGTCCCCAAAATCATTATAAATTCATATGAAATCCTAATATACAATATATATATATATATAATCCGATAATTACATATGCAATTACAAAAAATAATGTGTAATATTAGATAAAATCGTTTATTTTGCTAAATAACTTTATACACAATGAAGAAAATTATTTGTTATTAGATGAAATCGTATATGAAATGAAATAAAATCACGTAATCTGTGGGACAATATTACAGTTAGTGGTTACCTCCTCGGGTGTAGCCTTACACCACACCAGTAGCGTGTAAGCGTTGCATTGCACTGGAGTGATGCACACCATGATCTACACTACTTTATTACTGCGCTTAAATTCTGCTCCCGATTAATTTCCATTTTTTAAAATTTTTTTTTACCAGCCATGGAAACACGCTACACTCTGAATGTTGCACATGTAGCCAAGGGAAATCGCAATTACATACATACAAGTGATATGAGAATCGATTAAATTACCATTTTTCAATTTTCCTTCGGTTTTGGAAAGAAATCTCCAGCAGAGCCAAATGGTTTCTTTTTTTTCATAGAAAACACTATAAGAAAGTAACAATCGTGATAATGATAATCAATCTCTGGCAAAAACACTAATTCGAAACTTGGAGGATTGTATGCATGGAATGTGCATGGTGATCCAAAAGTATATCCAAATTGAGAGAGGAAGATATATATGAAACAGTTTGTAAGAAGAATAAACATATATATAATACATACAGCGTGTTCCAAAATTCGTGAATCAAAATACCATACAAGAAAAATTTTCAAAAAAAATTACAATATATTTATTTCTTTATAAATCGTGTAATAGTATTAGTAAGCGCACATTTCAGTATTTAAACGTCGTACGTTTAAACATAATCCGTAATTAGCATATTTAAACCCTATTATTTCACAACTATTGCATTAAATAAAACTTCATAAATAACTGTTTTATATATATAATAATTAGATTTCGCTCGTTTTTTGCAATGCAAAGTATAAAGAAAAAACGGTCTAATCGAACGGTAATGAGATTTTTAATAAATTTCTGTAAGTTTACAATATTAATATAAATAACATAAATATAAAAAAGATATCGAATATTTCGGAGCTCACAGGTCCTTCTTCAGCAATTCTTACATATGTTTTTTTGTCGTAGAACTAACGCATTATCTTACGGTCGAAGCGACCTGGGTATCGATCATGTAACTTTTTCTCTAGGGCGGAAACGTGAAAAGTGAAAATTTTTTGCATGTATGTGTGTATATGTTCATACATACATTTATAAAAGTTTTCACTTTTCACGTTTCCGCTCTAGATAAAAAGTTACATGATTGATACCCTGATATGGAATTGTGCTGGTATGACAATTTGTTTCAAGGAATTGATTCTCCTGTTTTTTATGTGATTGTGGAATTTGTGTAATAAAGCACCTGAAATAGGAGCATCATTACGTATTCATCTGATTCTGTTAAGCGCAAGTGTATTTCTTATTGTGGTATTTTATTTTACGAATTTCGGAACACCTTGTATATGAAATATTCTATATATATATGAAATGTCCTTTATGCGCATACTTCAACATGCCACACGTATTTTATTAATAATATTAGGCGTACAAATTAATTCTCTTTTTTGACCAACTTTGACATTTATTTCAAAGTAATGTCAACATAATGTCAACATTTACCAACTTTGACAGTTACTCCAAGCGTATTTGTAAGTTCTAATTGCGTTTGGCAAGAATTCTAGTTCAAACTTTCCTCCAACTCCACGTCTTCCTCTTTTTTGATTGATCAGGGCGGTTACGATCCTCAAGGTCGAAATTTCCCTCTCAAAACTATAGGAATCATTTTTTACACATACTGTACTATACAGTATTCTCGTCCAAAGCTGAACACATGATTTCTTTTGCTTCAGCCGCGTTTTTTTTTAAAGTTGAAACGCGAAAAGAAGGCAGTGCCTCGAATGTTGCTTTTCGAACGACATCGTGTTTACTGCTGATTTTTCAAGTTACATTCACAGGAGGATCAAGTATTGTACCTCATTTTAAAGCTAAAAAATAGCACTTCAAAATTACTACAGAGGGGGGGGGGGGGTTCAACTGAAACGGATTCTGAGGTCGCTGAAAGGTAGAGGCCGAGAATTAATTTGTACACCTAATGTATATACGTGATAATTGACTGAGTATCTGCGATGTTGGCACATGTATACGGAAGACTAATATTCCATATACATGTATATTATATATCTCTCTAATACATTATTTGAACACACTTGGTCCATAAGAAATATAGATAATGCACAATGTATACATACGTTCTAAGGTTCGAAAGTAGTATTTCATGACTAAGCAGTAATTCCATCATCAGAAATTCCTTACTTATCAGTAATTCTTAATAATTATATCGTACCATATAGATTCATCACGTCTGGAAACTTTTAGGAAAATTATAGAAAAGATATGCCACATACACACACACACACACATATATATATATATATATATATATATGTGTATGATATAATCGCAATACATATATATCATTTCAAAGGGAAAAATTAATCTGCTTATTTAAAAAAACTCATCATTTAACGTAAATTTGCATTTGACTGCCAAAGAAAAAGAATTAAAAAACATTGCACAAAATTATTACTATAACTGAAAGACAAGGGATATTATAAAGGATGTTGCGAAATGATGAGTAAGAACGGACCGACACCAAGATGTTCTAGTAATTGCTATCGCACGTGTGCAGAACGAAAGTTAATACTGAGTTGATACTATTTAACTTAGTTAAATTCACATTTAGATATTGATTCTTATACTTATTCATGAATGAATGAAACACGACATTTGTATGATATAAAGTCCTTTCTCGAATGTATGTAGCGTCGCGCGGAATTTAAGTTTACTGAGATTACATTAGTTTCAATTAGTGTAAGATGCGTTTTGTTTTGACTTACAGTACTTGTCAGCATTATTTGTCCTTATTTAATATTGAATAGACAACAAGGATGAACTGATGCTTACAGTGTGTGAGCGTGAAAACGGGACGCATCTACAAAGTTCTCAAAGCAGAGATTTGAGGAGAGATATTGAAAACAAAACT